TTGTTTATTTTTATTTAATTTTATTTTATTTTATGAGCAGTTTGCAGCAAAAGTAGGTGTGTCTGCGGCAAGAGAGCCTGACGGAGCCCATTCCTCTCCAAGCTAGTTTAGAAAACAGAGTTGGCCTTGTCCAAAGTTATACCATGTTACATTTGTTATCCCTTTAGACGTTATTTTTAGTGGATACTCGTATTTGAGTAGACGCTTCGTTTATTTATTAAACAGTATCTTTATTTATTTATTTTCGCCTACCGGCCTGAATAAAAAAAAAATCATTCTAAAATTCTCACAGTATTAGATTCTGTCCAATGACTCTGACAGCGATGCTGTCAGGGATTCTAAACTCCTGACAGGGCCACCTTTGGCGGCAAGGTCGAAGACGAGGGCCCAGACCAACTCCAAAGACCCCAAAAATGGAATAAGCGGCTGACGATTAAAACAGATATCAACGGTTGAACAAGCGGATGAAGAGGACTACGCATAAGGGACATGCTACAGAAGGCGTCATTCTAAATTATAACAGAATCAACGGCAGTCTTTTGCAGTTTCCTAAATGGATTCTGCATATCTCCTTTTATACGTGCCGCAGAGGAAGGCTGATGAAATCGAGTGAGTCACTCTCTGGTAAGTTGAGGTTCCCCATAAACAAATTCATGCCATCGGCCTTTTCTCCTACTCTGCTTTTCTTTCACCTCAAACCAAATTTTGCAAAACCAAACGTCGATAGGGAATGGATGACGGTAGAAGGTTTTGGTGACACTGGAAGCTTCAAGTTGTACCTGCAGGTAGGCAGTGAATTTACTCATCAACGCTATCATCATAATGGAAGCGATAAGCAAAGAATTGGATACGAGATGAAACCGATGACGAGATTCTGTCTCAATGGGAAAAAGACTTTTAATTATCTTAATGCTATCAGAGTTATCTCCCTTTGGTATTCATGTTTGTGTTTTAGTTTTTCTGCGTCGTCGTCCTCGAAGTCCAAACCGGAGATACTCTTAACAACATGAGATATGCAGATGACAAAGTTTTGATAGCAGACAGAAAACTGCGGGAACTACGAGAGAAGGGAAGCGGAATCTTTTCTGTTAATTCACACTAACGTAATATAAAGTTACGTATCGCAAATATTAATTCACGCCTAGAAATTATAAATTTTAAATCAGTTTATATTTAAATTTTGGCACTCTTCTGAAATTATAAATTTTAAATCAAATTTCTTTAGCTTGCCTTACAACAGTTCCAACCTTCAGAATGAAAAATGACCAAAAATCAGGGAGTTATTCACATATTGTAAGTGCAAATGATAATCGAGTTACTTAAAAGGAATTTTTTACAATTTAAAAAAAAATAAATGAAAATCTTTTTGGATGCTTTTTTATTGGAGTCAGCGCAAAATTGTAAAGGTTAACCCTATCCGAGTGCAATGGAAGGGCCTCGATCTGGGATAATTTGGTGTGAATTTTAGTAAATATATATATATATATTCTTTATTTTGGAGTAAATTAACAGAAAAGACCTGAAAAGCGAGAAGAAATGACTAAAGCTAAATTGCAAGAAGATAGAATAGACCATTATGAGCAAGAGTAATAAGCCAAGATGCCAATGACGAATTGGAGAGACCAAAAATCAAGCGACTAAATATCTGGGAAGTGTTTTTAACCCTAGAAGAGTAATCATGGGTATATAGTACCCAGCGCAAATTTTCCTATTTTTAATTACAATTTTCAGTACCTGATTTTCTTACCTAAATAATGTTTTTCAGTTCCTAATGTTAACTTAAAGCACAAAGTTTGAAGTGACTGTATGTAAAATATTTCAAATAAAGATTTATATTTAATATTTTTTTTTTATATTTTCAAAATCGGGTATGATATACCCATGGTTAGTAGTGGTGTAAATTGATGGTTAGTGTTCTAAGGTTAACGGAGAATAGAACATGTGAGACTAAAATCTGAAGGTATAGAGAAAGGTGCCTTCAAAAAAGCTAAGCAAAGTATTAAGAAACAGGAAAATTACAAAGAAAAAAGTGCTTAACTATTATTCAATATCGGTCCTCCTATATGGCAGTGAATTCTGGACCGTCTCCTCACAGATAAGGAAGAGACTTGAAACAACAGAAATGTGATTCTAGAGAAGAGTTCTGAGAATTCCAGAGACTAAATAGGTGAGCAATGAAAAAGTTTTAGTGAAAATGGGGGAAAAAAAAAAAGACACTGATACTTAGAATCAGAAAGTGACATCTGAAACTTCTAGGACACATAATGAGGAAAGAAGGCTTTGGAAATTTGATACCCACACGACAGATTGAAGGCAAAAGGGAGAGAGGATAACGACACGGCGTTACCTAGCTAAGTGGATGGCAGTATATAGTTTAGGAGAGAAAAAAAGAAAAAATGTATGTAATATCTGTCCACCTATATGGCAGTGAATGCTAAATACTCTCCTCACGGATGAGACATGAAGACTAAGATATTTAGCTTTACGCTACCACTTTTTCATCAATGTCGATTTTCGTGCTAAAAGCAGATCACAGCTTCATACATGTTTCTGAAAACCTTAACTTCTCATTGGACAATAAATATTAAAATTATCTCGTATATCTTCACGTGCATTATTCTCAATAAACAACACAAAACATATCAGGCTCCAGACTGAGTTTTGTAAGGCGCTTTCTGAGTGGTTAACAGATATTAAAAAAAACAATTTACCTGCTCACCAATACGTCCGAATAACATCAACCTAGTTTTTGACCTGACGAAAAAACAATGCTCTCAGGTACGAACGAACCCAGTCAGTGAGAATTTACGACGACTAGCATTTGCTAAACGAGTTCACGACGATTGTATCATTACTGCAGCAAAGTACAAAGTTAGAATCTCAAGTTCTTTAACACGAAATGACTTCGCTGTAATTCAAGCTAAAATATCAACGAAACAACTCATTCACCAACTTCTGCAACTTACTAAAAACTATTCAATTACGTTATTGAATCTTACTAAACTTAAGTACAAACAATTACGAACAATACTTTCAACTACGAGCAACAAAAACAAATTAGACATTACGGAACATTCACTCCTCCAACTTCTTTGAAGCTAAAAGTTTATCAACATATTTTCAGCTTTACAAGATTCTTTAAACTCTCTTTCAGTGAACAGTTTGAACCACAAGATAATTCCGCTTTTTGTGAGCTCAAGTAAAAAAAAAATTTTGGAAAGACTTTAGCACAGTCAAAGGGAAGTAACTCATATTAATAGTTATTGTAAAACTGTTGTCATTTTAAAATATAAATATTGTACATGTTATGAAAAGTTATTTTCTTGTGTTCTTTTTCTTGTTTGCTTTTTGTTTGCTTACACATTCGTAAAGTAAAAAAATGTGTGGGTTGATTTATGCCGTCAATACCACTACAGATATGTTTCTACAGAAGACTGGGGAGAATGCCATGGATAGAACATGTGAACAACGGGGAAGCTTGAAGGAGAATAGAAACGATAAGTAGAATAAGAAAGGGATAGTTTGAAGAGAAGAATGAGAGCTTGTCTTGGAGAATTTGGGACTCACAGAACAGAGGAAAAGCCGCGAATAATCTATGCAACAGGCTCGTTAAGGTAAATGAATGGGAGAGTAAGGAGGGATGGTTTACAATTCTAAGAACTACAAAAAAATATGAAGTTGGGGAGAACCATAATTGTCTAAGATCTGAAACGAGACGTCGCAGAGAAGAAAAAATAGTTGCAAACAATCCTATAACATTCTTTAGTATATTCAATTCAAGGGAGAGAACTGCAGATTTTATTTTCACAGCAGATAATTCACTACGAATTATTTCCCTTTAACTAGTTTTAAGCTTCTGTCATAATGAAGACCGTAACACTACGACGCGCTGTAATGGTTAACGACCTTGTATCGCTCGATCTACTACGGCTGAGCAGTGAATTTGATCTTCACTGGGAGCTCCCTACTTTCGGCCTTGTGTTACATCTAAACTATGCTTAGAAAAACACCATAATTAATACCGTATATACTCGTGTATAAGCCGACATTATGTATAGTGCGACCACTGTTTTTTTGCATTAATTTTAAATATTACCTGTGTATAGTGCAACTGGTCTCTCTTTAGAAAAATGACCTGTATATAGTGTGATACACTATAAACGAGTATATATATATATATATATATATATATATATATATATATATATATATATATCGATGCAGTGAGAACGAAAATAATATATAAATTCTAACGTTCACAGCATTAATTCAAAAGATGGCTCAATACTGATAATAGACCAATAATTATTTATAATAATTTTTTCATATAGACAAAAACAGTTTACCCACTACAAAGATGAAACTTCGTTTCAGTGCATTTCAGTTGCACCTCGACTGGTGTGACCCAAAATGGTTATCCATTCCATATGCAGATAACCATTTTGGTTCTCACCAGTCGAGGTGCAATTTAAATGCACTGAAACGAAGTTGCATCTTTGTAGTGGGTAAACTGTTTTTGTCTATATGAAATATATATATATATATATATATATATATATATAGAGAGAGAGAGAGATAGTGAAACGAAGTTGCTTCTTTGTAGTGAGTAAACTGTTTTTGTCTATATGAATTAATTATACAGTGTAACCCGGATATAAGAGACCCGGATATAAGAGAAACCCGGATATAAGAGAAACCCGGATATAAGAGAAACCCGGATATAAGAGAGATTTTCTCTGGTCCCAAATTAGAGCCTGTGTTAATGTATAAAAAATAGATCAAACCTGGATATAAGAGACTTCTTCTCCGGTCCCGACAACTCTCTTATATCCGGGTTACACTGTAATATATATATATATATATATATATATATATATATATATATATATACAGAGAGAGAGAGAAAGAGAGAGAGAGAGAGAGAGAGAGGGGACTGGGTGGGGGAGAAGGTTGTTACTGAATGACAAAATAGGAAAGAAATCTTGGGCTTACGGCCACTTGACGTTCAAACACCGGTTCCCTTATGATCATGAAGTTAAGCAACGTCGAGCCTGGTCAGTACATAGTTCATGGCTGAGATGGGCGACCGCTTGGGAATACCAGGTGCTGTAAGTTTGGATGTGCGGGTGGTGTGATGGTTAATGGCTCGAAATTTCTAATCGGAGAATCGATTTCTAATTTCAGTTCGTTATATTTCCTTACGTGCAAATAGCCTGAGGAAAGGGATGAATGCCCCTCTCCTCCTCCTCCTCCTCCAGCGATGAGTTAATTAGTTTGATTTGTATCACTAAACCCATTATTGTCTCAAAAACAGAATTGCTTACAAAATATTTAGATTTCGGCATTAAATAACCCAGAGAGTTGTTGATATGCCGCTTAACAAAAACAACCAATCCTATGCTACGTGTTTTAAAATTAGCGGTGATATTTTACACTAATAATTGGTTGATTGATTCAGTCAATGCGGGTTATTTAAAACGAGAACATATTCTTAAGGTGCAAAATTTTTCTTTGGTGGTGGGTAGATAATAATGGTTTAATGATACATGTATTACAGATTAACCCATAAATGGGTGTGGAGGGAGAATAGGTGGATTTATTCCTTTTTAATAGTGAGGTAATTTCATCTATTCTATTGTAACAAACAACCGGTTTATGTTTGAAAGATTGTTATGAAAATATTGGCAATAATAAAGTATCAATGAGTCTCTCAAAACTTATTCCGATCAAATCCAGAACCAAAACAATAACTCGAATTATTGATGTCTTCATGTGCAACACTTTTGAGATTCCTACTTCTATGATACTATGTGGCACTGGTAAAAAGGAAAAGAAAGGATTAATTTGGAATATGACTTGGAACAGACAGAAAAGGTTAAAAGCATGAGATGACTTATATTAATGTCCGCTTGCCTAAAGGTGCAAGTGAGAAGACCATATCTCATGATTATTAGGAGAAAGAAGGGGTCAATTGAGTATAATATTCGATAGTTTTGAAGACAAAGGCAGAATCAAGAGACTGGCCTGACAAGGCAGAATCAAGAGACTGGCCTGACAAAGGCAGAATCAAGAGACTGAGCTGACAAAGGCAGAATCAATAGACTGGCCTGACAAAGGCAGAATAAAGAGACTGAGCTGACATCAGAAGTCGGAAATGGCCTCGTCGATTTTATCCTCCGTTGAAGGAAGTCAGATAGTGGATGAGCCCGTGGGGTTCATTAGTACTATTATTGAAAATTAAAAAGAGAAGTACAATTAACGACTAAAAGTTGAGACCGCCTTTCTGTCCACGCAGTTTGAAAGTCGGAGTCATCAAACAATTGACCCGAAGACTTTTTTCGTTTTTATTAAATCTACAAAAAGACATTTCTATTTTTTTTCATCATAGCACTGCTTGCCGTGGTTTGAACCAGCGCTACGATACTGACGATTAATCGATCCCTACCAGCTCTGTTTTCAAGAAACACAACGTGGGTAGAGAAGGGTGATGACCAAAGTGGAGAGTAACCAACGACTGTTAAACCGCAATAATATCGAACTAGTGGGATTGACCCTGCAATCAATTCGTCGTTCTACGACCCTAAGAACCAGGGTTATTATTATTATTATTATTATTATTATTATTATTATTATTATTATTATTATTTCCTTTGATTTCTGGCGTTTACACATTTCTTTCCGGGTCCTGCCCAGGAACCTAAGGTTAGAAATGGCATCATGACACTTTCCATTGACAAAATAAAAAAAAATTACATAGATAAAGCCCTTCGTAAAGTGTGGGCTGTACATGTCAGAACAATTTTTTGTATCTCTTTGAGGCATGGACTTCCAGGAATCCCTTTAATTAGTCTACTGGAATCTTTTCCAAACAATCCTAGGGCTCCAACTACAACAGGGATTTTTGATGTTCCCATGTGCCACATTTCTGAGATTTCGATTTCAAGGTCCTTGTATTTTGACAGCTTTTTGAATAACTTCAAAGATACATTGCAGTCTGCAGGGGCTGCCATATCAATAAGGAGGCACTTTTTTGTTTTTATTATTATTATTATTATTATTCCATTGATTTCTTGTGTATCCTCATTTTTCCGGGTCCAAACCAGAGACCTAAGGTCAAAAATTACATCATAACAGTTTCCACTGAGCATTAAAAAAGACTTAGGTTATTATTACTATTATTATTAATGTTAATATATATATATATATATATATATATATATATGGGTAATTATCTAAGTGAATCCTTATAATATAAAATATTAAAACTGATCCACAAAGAGAGCTCAATTTTCATTTAGTTTTACCTTATTACCTTGATCGGTTTGAAAATACTCAAAGATAATCTCAATTTGTAAGGTGAAATGATCATAATTATGGGGTAATTTAATTCCTTTGGTATATATATATATATATATATATATATATATATATATATATATATATATATATATATATAACCAAGTATAGGATTGGTATATATGGAATATATATATATATATATATATATATATATATATATATATATATATATATATATATGTGTGTGTGTGTGAAAAGTGTGTGTATATAAATATAAATAAATAAATAAATATATATAGATATAATTATTTATATATTATATGCATGGTACTTATTAGAAAGCGCTCAATATCAGAGTTTGTCTGACGATCGATAAAGCGTGAAACCCAGGGTCACAAACTCACATCTATCCAACCAAATATATATATATATATATATATATATATATATATATATATATATATATATAAGTATAGGATTGGAGTATACGGAATAAATTCCAATAACCAACAAATACTATTCTTAAAAGAGTGCTCAATACAGAGTAGAGCAAATATAATTATTTATTCGAAAATTATAAATATGTTATAAAATCACTACAATAATAGCCATTTTGTTTCAACACTTCTTATGAAGTGATGGTATCAAGTGATGGTATCAAGTGAATGGTATCAAGTGAATGGTATCAAGTGATGGTATCAAGTATTACAACAAAGACACGTAAGGATCGCTACACAATGACAGTCGTCTTTCAACGCATAACGACGTGTTTCCTCAGGCGATTTTAGTCTCTAATTGGTCTTTATATACATTGTATTTATTTTATTGAATTTTTCACCTATATTGCATATGATCCAGTTTTGTACCTAATTAGGTTACGACCTAATTTCTATTTTATATGGATGCTATATTTTATTTATTTTATATGGATGCTATCTTATGAATATAAGCATGGTATAATAGAGTTCTCCGTACCATAGATTCATGGCGGCGCTTATAAGACCGTTCCATCGATGCTGGTCTTATTGGTTACAGTGAAATGTGAATGATTAAAATTACTATTATGGAGTGTATATTCTAACAGAAAGCGGAATCTTCGATGCGCGTTCAAATCCCGATTAGTCTGCTGTGTTTATTAATGTCATGAATCAGTCTATCCCCATTCCGTAGCTTTAGACTAAATTTTGAAGCCCTGGATGGCAACGCGTTGAAGGAAACTGACACTCTGAATTCAAAACAGTGAACAAAAGCAATAAGAAATCATGTCTCCCGAGACATGACGATGTACAGATGATAAAGAAAAGGAAACTGTGGAGACGTATGATCAATTACGTCCCGAAGCAATAAGTTATTAAAAAAAAATGAATGTCTTCATATTGAGTATAGACATTTCTGTGTTAATTTCAACCTTATCAAAATGCACATTTACAAATCTACCATTGTGACGGGTACACACCTGGCCCAGGGTCGAATCCCTTGGTTACGGCGCCAACTGTGACGTCGCTCCTCCTGGTCGCTCCTCCTGGTTTCAAGCGTGCCGCTCCAACCCCTTGGTTAGATGATCACCAGCCTCGCCTTTCCCGACTCGCTTCCAATACCTGGTTACTGAAGCAACTGTACTGATCTCCGGTCTGTCTACCCACGTTGTGTTTAGATCTTAGACAGACGGGACCAGCAGGGATTGGGGCCGATATGTTGAGTCCGACGGGGGTGGCAAAACACAAGTAAAAAAAAAAAAAACTCACGAGACAAAAAATTACTGATAAAAAAAAGGTGACAACCTTTTATATCTAATGTCCGTTACACAAAGAAAAAATTGTTCTTATTTCCCGACCCGCTCTGTGGACTATGGCACCAAGCTTCTATCATACAACTTAAATATTTCGAATTGCCTACTCTTTAGAATTATGTATGTCGGAGTGTGGTCTAGTTCGACACTGGGGCTAATTTCTATCAATCATTCGCAGTTGATTCTTCTCTTCGACTTGAGTTGTATTTCTTCACTTCGATCTGGTTGGGTCGAATTCTGTTCTCGGCTGGGCTTGATTTCAACTTCTTCTTCCGTCCAGTAACTCTTTGGCCTTGTCTTCGACTTGGCTGCAACTTCTCCGCGGTTTTCGAGTAATCTTCTTCTTCGTCGACTTAGATGGAACTTCTCTTGTCTTCGACTTGGGCTGGAAGGATTTCTTGTTTTCGACTTGGGCTGGAAGGATTTCTTGTCTTCGACTTGGGTGGAAGGATTTCTTGCCGCAACTCAGCCGCAACTCTCTGTCGTCCGAGGTGATCTCTTCTCGCTGCCGTCCGGGGCTGAACTGATTTTTTGTCGATTGGGGTCCTGCTTTTATTGACGCCGCAGCAAATCAGGGTGGGTCTGTCGGCGTCAGGGCTCTCGATAATCCCAAAAGTCGCATTAGTTCTGATTTCCCATTATCGCTATTATTTTCACCCCTACTTCCTCCACAGTGCCTCTGGGGGAAGACGCATACCCATCTCTCCCGGTCTCTCGTATGTCAGGTGACCGTTTTCGACCAATGGTTCCTGATCGAACATTCCTCCTCCTCTTTCCGCATGCCACGTGACCGTTTTCGACCAATGGTTCTTGATCGAGCATTCTCCTCCTCTTTCCGCATATCACGTGACCGCTTTCGGCTAATGAGACTGTGGTGGGACGCCTCCGTCTCCAATCGGGCGTGGCTTACATCGTTCTTGTTCTAAAAAACAAAATCTAATTTGGCCTTTTTCGCACGTACGAAAAATGATAATCTTGGCTTTTTCTCACCTGGGTTCTGTCAAAACAGCCTGCCGCTAATTAG